ACACACACACACACACACACACACACACACACACACTTACATTATATATCCGGAGATACTCAAACATGCGATAGCGACAGCCATTTCAAAAGCCTCACGGTTTCAGGGGGCAAAATCCTCCTTTTATCATTGTAAGGAAAAGAAAAAGCCGGATGAATCGCTCAGTGAACATTTTAATATTATGGTAGTCAGCCACAGAGTGAGTTGTACATTGTAATCTATAACTTAGAGCTCACATTCCTTTTGTTCCAAATTTTATTGAGCACAGTGGCATGATGTCCACTAAAGTGGACACATAGTCTTCACAAAAAAACTGGTCCCAGTTCATGGTATCCGCTACAGTGGACACATTGACCCTCCCCCCCTTATGTTGCTGAATTTTGAAAGAAATCTTTCTTCTGTGCTGTTTTCATGCATAGAACAACTTGTATGGTGAACTTGTACCACTTACTATGATTGCTTCATACCCCATGCCACAAAGGGTTAAAGGCTCGCAGGGTTTTACTCCCCACGAAGTATTTCTTTCTTTCTCGGTTGAAACATCTTATGTTAACTGGCTTCCAATGTATGCGAACAATTCCACCTTTTATAGAGTATTGTTGTTTAAGTAGAAGTCTGGAGGTGGTGCATTGGCGACTACCATTACGTGTGTCTTTTATGAATGGATGTGCAATCCTATTAAAACAACGTGAAATGCAGTCTTGTCCATAAAAGGTTACGTCATCTGCAAACTCTAGATCTTTTAGGCTGTTACCATCAGTGCTCCAGGGGATTCTCTTCGTCTCATCTGTCATGGGATCTCCTATATTTCATCTATCTTAAGTTCAGTTTCATAAATGTTATCTTAATTTACCACATTTTCAAAAGCCATATTTGTGGCTTATATTTTTCCATCTGATCCTATCTACAAACCTTCTTAGTACTGCTACTACAAATATTATATGGCATTTATATAGCACTCAACCCCGATTTACGTACACAGGCTCTGAGCGCTTTGCAATACAACAGTAACAAATACACAGGTTCTGAGCGCTTTACAATACAACAGTAACAAATACACAGGCTCTGAGCGCTTTACAATACAACAGTAACAAATACACAGGTTCTGAGCGCTTTACAATACAACAGTAACAAATACAATCAGTTCATTGTGTTCTGACCGAAGGAAAATCGCTTTGAATATTTATCTCATTACTTTAAAAACAGAAATGGTTTTATTTGAAAGAATTAAAGGATTTGATACATCTTAAACTACTGGGCAAAGCATTCAAGATCGTGTGGCCTTGATATTCAAATGCCCTTTCACCCTTCTTCTTTTGTATGTCTTGACCAGGTGTGGGTGGCTGACGTCAGCGAGCAGCTGGAGGGTGGCTTGGTCTATGTTCTCACCAGTAAGAGCTGGAACAAACACGAGCATGCCGGAGACGAGCTGTGTATCGACTTTATCGGACACGGTCAGTCTCACCGAAATAGGAATACACACGTTAACTCAACCTGTATAATGTCCAGTTTATGATCTCATACTATCAGTGTATTTTGGAAAATGCATGAACATCTGTTCACGGTAAAATGCTTGTCATTTAGAAGGCGGACTACCAGGTTTAAATCTTTTAGATAGATTGTTGTTGTTGTTGTTGTTGTTATTGTTGTTGTTGTTGTTGCTTTTATTGTTGTGTTACTGTAGTTGCTGATGCATTTCCTCCTCCCCGTCCTCGTCCTCGTCCTCCTCCTCCTCGTCGTCCTCGTCCTCCTCGTCCTCCTCCTCGTCCTCCTCTTCTTCTTCTTCTTCTCCTCCTCCTCCTCCTCCTCCTCCTCCTCCTCCTCCT